GGGGGGGGGTGTTTGCTAATTTCAGCAATTTCCAGATAAGTTCCATTTTTTTGTGCTCATTTCTGCTTCTTTAAGCCTAATGGCGAACGCGTTCTTTCTGTTTTCTTCTGCTAATTTAAGCTTGTTCTACATTTTTAGCGTTTCTTTAGCGAATTTCAGTTGTTTTCAGATAAATTCAAGATTTTTTAGGTAATTTCTGCTACTTTCAGCCTAATTAACTTCTTCATGCTAATTTCAGCTTGTTATGCTCCTTTTAGCTTTTTGCTTCTAGTTTCAGCCTTTCCTGCTATTTCAGCCACAGTTTAGCTGTTTTCATGCTATTGTTAGCTTTTCCAGCTAATTACATTTTTAGCTAATTTCAGCTTTTTCTGATTCCTTCTGGTAGTTTAAGCTTCTTTCTGCCTTTTCATATATTTTTCTGCTATTTTTTGCTAATTTCAGCTTATTTCAAGCTAATTTCCTAATTTTTGTGCTCATTTTTGCTTATTTAAACCAAATTTAGCAAACGTCTTCTTTCTGATTTGTTTTGCTAAATTAGGCTTGTTCTTCCATTGCAGCTACTTTTCAGCAAGTTCTTCAGCAATAAGCATTCACACTGCATTTTCACATGAAATGCAGTTTCTCAAGATCATTCTAATTTTTCATTGTGGCCTGACTGAGTTCACGTAAAGATAGATGTTTGTTTGAATTGCTTCAACATATAGAGTGAAAATGTTCTGGTCCAGTTGTGAATCATTATGTAAATAAAATCAATCTTGTCTCACCTCATTAGACTGTTTGCCGCTGTAAGACATCTTCTTAATTGCCACCACCTCATTTGTTCGCACATCTCGAGCCTAGGAAACAAAGAATATCGTTGGCATACCGGTACATTTCAGATTATACATGCAGTGAAACACTTACTTGCTTTAGATTACCGACATCAACGAGGCATTTGTTTATAATTGCATAGCACGAAGTGTTTAGAAACACTAACACGTTAATAATAACCTTAAACTTCATTAATGCCATTAAATCCCTTAAACAATTAGTACAAATGTGCAAATTACTTCTAATCTTTATTGAACAAGACATTTCTTCCTTCCACATTTGAGAAAAAAAAGTTGAGTGTACTGTTGGTGAACTGAATCAGTAAAACAGATTTGATTAATTTTTAGTTTTAACTAGTTGTATAAATACTTTTGAATTGTTCCTGTTGAGATAAACTCAAGACAATGAATCCATTTCCTCACTCAGACCTGAAAGTGTTCACCTAATGAATCTCTTTGCATTTAGATGTCTGCAAACACGTAACGTGTACTTTAAAGCCGGTGTAAAGAGCAGTTGCCATACAAAGTAGACAGCGCCGAAGCTTCCATGGCCGATCTCTCGGAGGTCGGAGAAGAGCTTCTCTGGATCTTCCTTAAAGAAAAGCTCAGCCACGTCCGGATCCTTCAGGCTCCCTGCCCTCACGGAGGATGGCATCTTGGTTTATGTAGTCCCGTTTATCGCCCGCACAGAGGGGATGGGACTATCTGGGCGCTGAACTACACCAAAGCAGCTGTAGATTCATTTGCAGCTACGGTTGCGTCAAAGGAACCACTCACATCGGCACCTGGATGAACAGAAGACCGAGAGAAAAGATCAGGGTGCCTGCAAAGGCAAGCTGAAACACTCTCGCCCTGCATACGAGGAAGGAGATAAGACAAACCGAGATGAGTCAGGAGGCCAGATTTTAAACGGAAACAAAAATAAAACGCTGCGATACATTGCCCACTTCCACACAGGACACAGCCATCCACAATATCTGTTTATGTTCAGCTAGACCTGCTGAGGCGGGACTTTCTGTTCTAAAGCACGTTTGGTCCAAGAGGTTTTTATTGCCTGCAGCTGAAAGCAAAGGCAGACAATAAGGTTTTTGTCCAAACTTGTATGTGTGTGTGTGTGTCTGTTAGCAAAATATCCCAGAACCATTGGAAAGATCTTAATAAAAGTTTTCAGGAAAATAATCATTGAATGTACCTTTATAAGGGATTAATTTTTGGAGCCAACCCAGTTCAAGACAGCCACCACAGACGACTGACTTTAGAAAACACAGAAATGGCTTTAATTCAGTCAGTTTTATTAATTTAAAATTAGGATTGGGATTAATAGTTCTCATTATAAGATTATCTTAGTCTAAAACTTTGACATGAAAGGCAATGGGTCTCATTTAATCAGAGTCAAAGTTTCTTTATTGTCATTCGCAACACATGTGGTACATGTGGTGGAACGAGACTGTGTACTCAGGGTCCCAGTTACATCCAACAATAAAGTGGAAAAGAAAAACAGTAATAAAATCTAAGATATGAACTAAGAAAAACATCAACTAAAAATACAATAAGCACTAGTAGCATAAAAACAATAGAAACGATACGCTGAACAGCAGCACGAACATGAGTCTGTGTGAGCAGATGAGCATGAATGAACACAGCAACATGAAACAGATCAGCAGCAACATGAAACAGATCAGCAGCAACATGAAACAGATCAGCAGCAATATGAAACAGATCAGCAGCAACATGTGATTTTTTTTTTTCACACAGTGATTATCCTGGTTAGAGATTCATGAGTCTAACAGCCTCAGGGTAGAAGCTGTTCCGCAGTCTAGTGGTTCTACATTCATAATATATATATATATATATATATATATATATATATATGAATAAATGTGAGTGTCCTGCATAAACATCCTATGTTTGTGTTACTGCCTGCTTAATACCTTTTTTTTTTTTTTTTAAACTTCTAAACCCAGTGTTTACTGGTGATCTTTGAAACATTACGAGTAGATCTCCAGAGAGGTCAGGAGTTCCTGAAATATTTGAAACACTGTGATTTTTGTCCCTGCTCACACCTTGGGGTGCTGACACAAATACAATTAATTAAATGCAGCGTCATCAGGGGTGCATCTGTTTATACTGCTTCAGCAATTGCTGCAGATCTGAAAGCTACTGGAACGAGTGGAAGAATGCGAATATACCGTACTAGCTCAAAAATCGATTTCACATCCACAACAAGAAGGCAGCCTACAGTAACAATGAATTTGCTGCACAGAATGATCAATTACAACATGGGCTGTTCTGTAAACCACATCTGTAGCCTCTGCTTCAGTTAACAGATGTAATCAGTGCTAGATGAAAAATCGACTAATTAAATTGTAACTACTCTCTGTAAACACTTGCTGCATTTCACTTTCAATGTACCAAATGGCCTACTATCAAAATTGCATTGTTCTTTTTCCCCCCTCCAAGGGACAGAAATAGTCAAAAACATTGGGAAGCTACTTTTATACAACAACGATGCATTATATCCAGATAGAGCCACACAGAATTTAGTTGTTTGTTTTTGTTTTGACCTCACCCAAACTCCAATCACTTGTCCAACAGAATCCAACTATTAGAATAAAACCAGAAAATAAACTATTACTTGATGGCAAGTCTCAAAATTTTGTTTCTCTCTTGTTAGACTAAAAGTCCTGATAACGTTAATAGGTTAGGTAGCACAATCCTCCCCAGCCAACGGAGAATGTTGTGTAGGCCATTTTACTTTAATATTTTCAAACAAAGTGTGGTATTACAAGTAGAGGTGGACTAACTGATCAGTTCATTGGTTAGTTGGACTGATTTGTCCATTAAAACAAATAAAGTAATTAACATCACTACACCAGAGAATACTATAACAAACAAGTCAGGCACATCTCTGGGCAGCACAGTGACTTCAATTGACACTATGCCTTTCTGTCAATATCAATTTGATTTATTAAGCAAATAAAACAACAATATTTTTACAAGGACAATAAAAAAAGCATATAAAAGCACAACAAAAAAATATTTAAAATATTGTGCTTTGTCAAAAGCCAAATTAAAATGATGAGATGTAACTAAGCAAGAATGTAAAAGCCTGAATAGTCTGAGCTGTGCGTATACTGAAATCTAAACTGGTCCATAAATGTGGAGCAGCCACTGATCACTGCAAAAGCTCAGTGATCGTTATATTTCCATCTGAATCTCAAGACAGAAAAGAAAAACTGACTGGTAGATCAGAGTGTTCTTCTGGTGTCCAGATGTTGTTGCACCTTAGGAGACCAAACGTGTGCATTCTGCTTATTTGCCATCTTTGATTCACAATATATCCGTCAGTAAAAAGACAAATTTCATGAAACTTGGCCAGGATTTTTTTTTTTTTATATATAAATATTTTTATCTTATGACCCCCTCTATTTTATGGTGTATAGAATAGAGGTCTGCATAAAGCTTTCTTTCCTTACTATGGCCCGATTTGGCCCCACTGACTCCCATTATAACCACATATTTTTGATGTACTGTAATCCTGACATGATGTTTTTTTTTTGGTTCATGAATATATATTAAATATAAGCCTCTACCTTAAAATAAATGGAAAACAGGTTTTAGGTGGGAGGTGAACAACAGAGAGCCTCCTTCCTCCAGTTGAGTACATGGTGTTACGTGTTTGCACAGGTGCATGTTTTGAAGTCTACAAGAGGAGTTTGCAGTCTTGTCTGGCTGATCATTTCTCCAGCAGACAGCCACGAGGAGAACACTGACACTAGAAGAAGCACTATCTGCAAATTTGCAATCCTCTGAGGAGAGTGAGCAGAATGAGGAAGATGTTACAGAATCATCTGAGGGTCCAGAGGAGCTCCTGCAAGTCACAGAGGGGCCTTGCCAAATATTCCACTTTACAACTCATTTTTGAAAATAGTGCATATTTTGTGTTTTTCTGATAGAAATAAATCAAGAAAAAAAATACACATTTTTATTGGACTTTTCAAGGTCAAGGTCTCTTTATTGTCATTCACATCTCATGTGGTACATGCAGTGGAAAAAAAAAATTGTGTACACAGGGTCCCAGTTACCAGTACATCCAACAAAAGTATAAATTGTAAAGAAAAACAGTAATAAGATCTAAGATATGAACTAAGAAATACACTAAACTAAGAATATGCTAAACACTAATAGTACAGAAACAATACGCCGAACAGCAGCAGCACTTATTAGTGGGCCCATTTTGGGCCCAAAGGTGTTAAGTGTATAGACATTTTAAAGGACCCTCAAGTAAGGGTGCACCAATTGCAGTTTTCTGGCCGATCACAGAGTTCTAAAAAGCCTGACCTGCCGACTCTGATTTTGGCCGAAACTGATTTTGTTTAATAAGCGACACTGTCAGGCGTTACAAGGTCACAATGAACCTTCGATTTCCCAATATCATTGTATTGAAAAACAAACCCTTGAACAATATCTTAGAAACAATACAAACTTGTTTTAACTGGCCATGAAGTAGTGCTCTTAAGTATAAATGAAGTTCAGACAATTGTTGTTAAAACAAACAATTTTTTTGGGGGAGGGTTAAATTGGTTTCTCATGTAATTATCGTCCAATTTCCCAAAATTAAGGCAATCAGGGCCGATAAATCGGCCGGCTGATTTATCGGTGCACCCCTACCCTCAAGGGTTAATATGATGGGGCAAGACCATTTAAAGTATTAGTAAAGTTTTAATAATCTGAAATAAAACAGGAATCCAAGGGTTATGTGTTCTTATTCCCGCTGTCAGGGTGCCATTCACACCAGGGGGGAGCTCTTATGGCAGAAGGCCCCCCAAAAAGTTGACCAGCATATTGTGCAAACTTTTAAAAGAACAATGTTGTATTTATCATGGAGAATGTTAAAATCCTAACTATCAACTGTCACAGTCTAATAATATACTAAGTTGGCTAGAAGTTAAATATTATTTAGTGAGAAAATATAGATACATTTGCACTTAGAACATCATTCATAATGAGCTTTGTATAAATTGTAGCACTGGTAATGTGTACTGATCTGCATCAGACTCAAGGGCTAGAATAATCATGTTTCACCCCAAATCTGGTAATCAGAAATTTGTATGAATGTTAAATTATTATATTTATTGGTCAAAAATACAAACAAATCAGCTATCAGTTGTTCTGATTTCTAAATATTTGTACTGGCAATTGAGAAAAAAGTAAGGAAGAAGAAAAAAAAAAAATTTGGTCACCATCTTTCACAAAATAAATCAACAAGAGCCCCTGATATTGCTGTGCATCATTGAGAAGAGATTTTACACCGCAACACTAATTCAATAAATTTTAGTGCCCGTCTTGAGGAAACTTGAAAAAGTAGGGGAGCAGAACAACCAGCTGATTTAAAGTCACATGGCCATTTAATGTCACAAGATTTTTTTTTTCCTGTTAAAAAGCCATCCTGCTGACTGTGTGGCCAAGAGAAGCTCTTTAAACACGTTTATATGCTTATAAATGTATAACAGAATGACGTGAAAGAAATTTAAACTGTCAATTCTGTTTGTGTTTGAATATGTTTCTTGTGCTTCATTTTAAAACAATGATCAGCAGTTATTCAAATAAACCACTACAAAGACATGTCACTCAGTCTGACATATTGGCAAATGATGAATTTCCTCACTATAATATAATCCTTCAGTGTAAATATGAAATGACAATAAAGCAGACTGGCTTGAATAGTCGTCTCCTCAGAGTCACAACTACTTGAAATATCTCTTACTGGAACAGTTTTCCAGTT